ACTTCTCTGATAAGTACAATGACCCAAAGAAAGCTCAACCAAAGCTTAATATTACACATATATAAATCTCGTAAAGATAAACTGAACTTGAAAACTATTGCCCAAACTTTGTTTCCAGGAATACAAGAAGACAGAACTTCTTTGGCACATTTGTCTGAGGATGCATGAAAAGAAGAAAAGTCTGAAATTTTTCGCCGCGATGACATAGACGAGGAACAAAGAATTTATTTTCAGGTGCAAATTAAAGACAAAGAAGGATCTCAGAATTATATTTTTGGGTGGTGCCACATTTCAGTTTTTAAATATGTCCGATTATAGGCATGTGTGACAATACAAGTTTTGTTTTTTACGTTCCTGGGGTATTATTTTTTCTAAAGGTGTTAAATGTGTGTTTTGTCATACTTAATAAAATAAACTGTATATCTTATAATTCAACGATTTCTTCAAGTAGGCCTACTTTTATTAATTTCTTCAACTGCTTAAAAGTAAGGCTACAAATGCTTTGTTATTGTAGAGCTGTAGTGTGAACAGGCTACTTAGTAATTCACATTTATAGATTGGTGCACATCATTATGCTTGATCATCCTCTCCTATCTGTTTGTTTTCATTCCTCTGTTAGTCATCCTTTATTTGCTACCTATGATATTTTAATATATTCATTATTTCCTTTATTATATAAATGATCATGTAAATCCCTATATATGCAAAATAAACCCTGGAGGTTTAAAGTTGTAAAGCCCATGGCAGTTCAACACACGCGATCATGAAATAAGGGTGTCTTCATCGAAGTGTCTCTGTAAGTTTAGAACCACGCCCTGTGCCTACCCGCTCAGGCCACTCTACATTCAGGGGCGTCGCTAAAGGGGGGGGGGGGGTGGGGTTGAAGTCGGTGGTATGTCGGTCGGCCAGCATTTTTTTCCCCTTAGAACTGTGACATTTTATCGGACAAAGAAACATTTTTGAAAATTCAGACAATGATTTAGAGTCAGTTCAATGAATCGTCTTCTTTTTCTAATAATTTAATGAAACGTCGAAGCTCCCGCACTTCGCGCGAGAGGGGGGAGAAACTGAATTCAGACAATTAGGGTTAAGAGTAGAGAACGGTATACAACAAATCGTCTTCTTTCTATAATAATTTAATAAAACGTCTAAGCCTCCGCGCTTCGTGTGGGATGGGGAAACTGAATTCAGACAAGGATTAAGAGTCGAGAACGGTACAACAAATCGTCTTCTTTTCATAATAATTTAGTGGAACGTCTAAGCTACTGCGCTTCGCGCGGGATGCCTTTCACCCATCCCCTCCCCCACCTAGGGAGCGCTTCTTGCTCCCAGCAAGATAGTTTCCTCCTACATTTAATTTTGTTGCTGTTATGAGTTTATGAGTTTATATTCATATTTTTGTTATCAAACAGGAATAAATAAATGAATATATAAATACATTTGTACAATGATAATTGTAAAATGATGATAGAAGAACCAATTAAAATCGCAACTGATCTTCCCTAATTCCTTTTCTTTTCTTCCTTTTTGTTTTCTTTCCCTTTCTCTCCTCTTTCCCTTTCACTTCCCTTACTTCTCTCTCTCTCTCTCTCTCTCTCTCTCTCTCTCTCTCTCATTTAAGTTTGCTGAGGGTGGCAGGGGCCCTTTGCCCCCTCCCCCGATCCACGCGATTTTGGTGGGATTAATCGCAACTGATCTCTGCTTCTTTTCACCCTTTTCTATTCTTCTTCCTCTTTTGTGTTCCATTTTAGCTCTCCTCTTTCCCTTTCCCTTCTTTCTCTCTTTTTTTTGGCGGGGAGGGGGTGGGGTGGTCGGGGAGGGGGCAGAGGCAAAGGCCTTTCTCCGCGATCCACATCTTGTTTGCAGAAAAATTGCAACTAATATTCCTTCTTTTCTTTTCCTGTTTTGTTTCTTTCCCTTTCCTTCCTCCTCTCTTGTTTTGCGCGGGGGGGGGGGGGGGGGCAACAGCATGGGCGGCAAGGCCCTTCTTTTCTTTCCCTTTCACTTCTCTTCCTTTCTCTTTTAAGTTTGCTGTAGAAGGGGGGGGGGGCAAGGGCCATTTGCCCCCCCGATCCCTAACTTGTTGGCGGGAAAACTGCAACTGATATCCCCCTTCTTTTCTTTCTTTCCCTTTATCTCCTCTTTTCCCTTTTTTCTTTCCCTTCTCTTCCTTCTCTCTTTATTTTGCTGGGGGGGGGGGGGTGCAACAGCCTGGGAGGCAAAGCCCTTTCGGCGGCCCCCCGATCTCCTTCTTTCCCCTTTTCTTTTCTTCTTCCTTTCCCTTTGTCTCTTCTTTCCCTTTCCCTTATTTTTCCTTCCTTCTCTCTCTCTCTCTCTCTCTCTCTCTCTCTCTCTCTCTCTTTTGCTGATGGGAGGGGGGAGGGGGTGGCGAAGGCCTTTCGCCCCCGATCTCCTTCTTTTCCCCCTTTTCTTTTCTTCTTCCTCTTCTTCCTTTCCCTTACTCTCCGCTTTACCTTCTCTCTCTCTCTCTCTCTCTCTCTCTCTCTCTCTCTGACTCTCTCTCTCTATCTCTCTCTCTCTTCATTTTTTGTTGGCGGTTTGGGGTCAAGACCCTCTCGCATGGAAGAGCCTCTACCGGGGGTTCCAGGGCGGAGCCCCAGGATGCTCTCTAGTTTATTTGACTTTCAAGAGAAAGTGTCTCTAAGATATGAGGAGAGGTTATTTCTTAAATGAAGTGAAAGGACTCTTGAAAATAAAATAGCCCTTTCAGTTTCATTTCATTTTAGAAATAGACTCTAATCCATCCTTTGATATTTAAACTGCACTGCTCCTACTGTGTGCTTTTTTCACACTCTCCCTGATCTATAAAGGGTGCTTTCTTTATTGGTCATCAACAGAAGCAAAATGCTAGGCCACGAACTTTTCGAAGCGTGACCAGATTCAAAGTATGCTTAAATGGGGGCATTAATGTATGTAGAAAAAAACAGAATTAAGATCCCATGCAACGCTTCGAAATTTAAAAGAAGAATAAGAAAAATAAAGTTGAGATTCAACCTTTATGTCTAGACGTTGCATAATGCAATTCGTTTTGGTATTTTATTCCATCTCAGAGTGATTATAGAAGTTATTTTTAAGGATAATAAAGATTAAGCTGTCCGGGTCTTTGAATATAATGCTTCAAAACAAATAGAACAAGCTGTTTATTTCTTTATTCATGGTCTGTTTCTACTGTTTATCTATTTTCCTTGCCAATCCTCGAAAACGCATTTATTATGCATTTCACATAGGAAAGTTTGCATATTGATGAAACATATGGGCGCATATGGACTTCATTGTAGCCTTTGGACAGGATGGTGAAATAAAATTGATAAAAGAACATCATAATCAGATTATCCGACCCCGGAAACCCCATGAATTCATCAACTTTTATCATACTGGTCCTTTTCCTTTTGAAACTACGCTTGACCTTTAACTCGGATGGCGGCCATTTTTTATTTGGCCAATATGGCCAGCATGACAGCCCCAAGGAGACCTGCAATTGATACAAGCAACATCATAATCAGATTCTCTGACCCAGAAAACCCCCTTACTATATATATATTTTTTAAAATCATTTTAGCTCTTTTCCTTTTGGAACTACTATTGATCTGTAATTATCAGATGGCGGCCATTTTGGATTTGACCAATATTACCAGTATGACCCGAGGAGATCTCAAATCGATGAAAGAATATCATGATCAGATTCTCTGACCCCGAAAACCCCATAAATATATAAACTTTTATCATACTAGCCCATTTTCTTTCGTAACTATACACTTGACCTGTAACTATCAGATGGCGGCCATTTTGGATTTGACCAATATGACCAGTATGGCAGACCCTAGGAGACCTCAAATCGATGAATGAACATCAAAATCAGATTCTCTGACCCCCAAAACCCCATAAATATATAAATTATAATCATACAACCGCTTTTCCTTTTGGAACTACGCTTGACCTAATTTAACTCAGATGGCGGCCATTTTGGATTTGCCCAATATGGCATACCCAGAGGGTGCCCTTCTTGGCGTCCGGAAGAAATCGTTAAAGTATGGTATAATCTACCTCTGGGCCAAATTTGGTGCTTTTAGAAGAATCTGCACCAAACAACCCCTATTTAGCCTTAACAGCCTCCACTATATTGACTATGTATATGTGTGGACTAGAGTACGGACATTCGGTGCGGCAGGCGGACTATTGGTGCGAGACCTCTTCCGCACGGATTGTCCGTCAGACATTTGAGGTGCGCACGGAATGTCCGACACGGACATTCTGCGCGGATAAAATCAGCACCGATCGTCCGCTCTCGATCGATCTCTAATAGTCGGACGATCGGTGCGGGTTTCATTCTACGCGGTCACACCGGCGCGATTTTCAAATTTTCGGGAGCAAAAAAAAAAAAGTTGGGCCCCCTCCCCTAAGAAATCCTGGATCCGCGCCTGCCCTGGGTCCACATCTAACTCTTGTTTAGCCCTTCTAATTTCTCCTCTTTCCTTTCCTTTCCCTTTTTTTAGAAGGGGGGGGGGGGGCGTCGGGACTCCGGCCCTCCGGAGTCTTTCGTTTGCACTTTGTTCACATTTTAAGGGGGAGGGACGATCCCCTCTAAACGATCCGCCCTGCCATAATTTTCTCTGCCATGAGCAGGCACGTAGCCACGGAGGGGGGGGGGGGGGGGGGGGGGGGGGGGGGGCTCCAAAAATGTCCAAGATCGGTTGAATTTTTTTAGACCCCTCCCCAGGACGTCGATCGATTACACGTACGTGCCCATCCCCCTCCCCCCCCCCCCCCCCCCCCCAAAAAAAAAAAAAAAAAAAAAAAAAAAAAAAAAAAAAACACATCAAATTCTGGCTACGTGCCTGCTGATGAGGGGCCAGTCTGCATGTTACTTTATTTCCCCTTTTATTTCCTTATTTATTTGTCTCGTTTACATCACCATGACTGGCAACAATAGTCAAATTTGACTAATAGTCATTTTAATACCAAACGAACAACAACAACCGAACAGTTGACTGTTGTTATGTTGCAGCTAGCTGATGTGGATAGCGCTAGCGCAGATCGAAAATTTGGGAAATGCAGAATGAGAGGCCAGCATAGCCCAGGCCACATCGCTGATTAATTAATTTAGAATTTGAAAGACAGGTGAGGGTGCAATGTGCTTTTGAGTTTTGTGTGCTAACATAGTAATTTCGCTTTTATAGCCTACTAGAGTCTAGATCTAGTGTACTAATGACTGCAGCAGACCCTTCGCTTCAACTTTTCTGTCCCCAATCGGTCCGGCGTAGGGAACGATCAAAACGGGTTGGGTGTTGTCTCTGGTCTCGGGCCGACCTGTAACTGTTCTAAACTAGGTTGAGTCAAAGTCGAGTCAAATAGATCTTGTGTCCAGTTAAGTTATTCACATTATATATTGACCTTGTTACAGTTAAAATAGAGTAGACTTCTAATGATAAACAATTCAGACAATTCTTTTTCTTCTGGGATAGTCTAGGCTACTCCTCAACGTTCCGTAACTGGCGTAAGGAACCAAGCGAGGAGGATGAGGGGGTGCGCACTGTGCTTGTTTAGTTCTTATTGCTTGAGTCTTGGTTGCGGAAAAAGTTGGTTGCTTTGAGTTTGAAGGTGTCGTTGTTCGTGGTCCTTTGGATGTCGAAGGGTAGTGAGTTCCAGTCCTTACACTAAGCTAAAGTAAAGGCCTACATGAACATGTAGATCTAGGTCTAGACTATCTAGGCTAGGTCTATATGTAGTTACAGTACCAATAGGGAGGCCAAAGCCCAAATCTTACTTTTTAATTACTAATTTGTTTATAATAAAACAAAGATTAAAAGAAAGTATTTTCTTTCACTAAGAAAATTCACCCATCTGCCGACTCCAGAAGTTCCATCAAATAGGAGATATCCAGCTCTTTTTATCCAGCTTCCTTCTACGCCTATCCATACGTAAGAGCCTTGAAACAATTATATTTCATGTCGCAAAGTTACGTTCATAATTAGACAGGCCCGAGGGGATTGGGCGTGTCATTGCCCGGACAACAAGTTTAAAACTTCGCGCGAAATTCCGTTCATCATTAGCGGCTAGCCTTGAATCGGTCGCACACACCGACACAGCTAGGTAATTGCATTGCAAGCCGCAGTCCTGAAATCGAGCCATGGAGGGACAAAACATTCATGAACGAACAGAAAAAATAAACATAGATCTACGTGGTTGTAGTCAATATAATCCTAGAAAAGAATTAAAATTAATAATTAGGCCTACCTTAAGGTGATATTCCAAATCCAATAGTATTTCCTGATGAGTAAAGATCAATCTGACACTGCATTATCAACGATCGAGAAGTTACGAGGTCCAATTAACATCCATCTTGCAGCAAACACAATACGGAGTACAATAGGACAGCAGCATGCATAGCGCATGCAACGTACGTGTACTAATATTTCTCTCACTCTCGATCTCTCTCTCTCTCCCTTTCGGTATACGTAACATACACACTCACTGACCATGTATCATACAACACACACCTTCAAATCATGGCTTTCATTTCAATTCTCAGTTGGAGTATAGACTGCTCACGTAGACTTTTTTTTTTACTGAAATATCTTTTTTAACACTTCTCATACATTACTGCACGACACTCGTATCTAGTGCTGTGAAAATAAGGTACTAGGGTCTATAAATAAGACTAGGCTTTGCGCACGATCTGACCGGAGCTCAGACATATGTCACAATACCCTTTATTTTTGGCGCGAACAATGACGTCACTGTTCACAGTTTTCCTTCTCATTTGATTTGATTTGATTTGATTCGGTTTATTGAAAAAAAAGAACATGCAGCTGGGAAGCTGAAATAATTCAATTTACAAAGTCAATATACAACACAATAAACGAACAAAATATGAATGACTAAAACGTACGACTATAAATTATGCAAAATGAGAATCAAATATTACATCAAAATCTAAATATATTACAAACATTAAATCAAAATCTAAATATATTACGAATATTACATCAAACTTGAGATATATTACAAAATACAAATGTTACGTTAAAATTCAAATATATTACAAATATTATAAACATTAAAAATTAAAAACCTTAAAAACCGTCTGTGTCATCAAAGAGATGGATGTAGCTATAGGGCTCAAACCAACACAAAATTGACAGAAACATCGTACTTTATGTTCAGTTTGTAAAAATCTGTATTTAAAAAGATATAATCTTTTTTCTTTATATTTTCTAGTTGTTAGAAGTGGCAATTGTGAACATCTGAAATGTTGATCTCTATCAAAAGTTCTTTACTCAAAATGGATCCCATATTTTTAGGGTCTACCTTCTGCCAATGAGAAGGTTTTTAGTGAGCAAACCTCTACGCCCTCTAGGATTTTCTTAGTCGGTAGTGCGTGCGCGTCATGGTCTTCTGCTACAACAATTATTGGATTAAAATACATCAAAATCTGCAAGATCATCAACAAATGGTGAAAGACTGATACAGATCCGTGATTATAGGTATGTTGTGAAATGTATAATTGTATTTTCTTTTTTTTTTTTCATCATTTTTTTCCCTCTGCTAATTTTTTGAAGTGGGCGACGAGCGCGCAATCGTAGGTGTAGAAGCCTTACGCCCGGGCATTGGCCTCCCTAACAGTAGATCTAGAATCTAGATCTATATGATAGATGCAAGAAGCTCTGGACTGTGTAGGGTTCCGACATCTCAAAATATGCAAGGGAGGAGACTCTAGGCCTAGGTCTAGGCCTAATTACAATTTTGACTAATTAGGTCTCTCGACTCCTCTGGGCATCTGGCTGGCCGCTTGAAATTATAATTTGAAGAAGTTTTTGATTGGAAAAAGAGGGTGATTCTTCGTCCTACCCCGACGATTCTTCCAACTCCAAGTTCCATGTTTTATTGTCGATTCAACATGTTGTATTTTTCTGTCATGCATTTTTAGAAAACTACATGGGGGTATGGACTATGTTGCGTGTTAACTAGTAATCCCACATAATTCCCTTTTTTAATTAAACTACTAAAAAGCAGTATCCCTCCAGACAAGAAAACACTTAATAAATGATCACATCCAGACAAATTGATTATGGTTAAAAACTGGTTCTATATTCTATAATTTCACATAAGATACAATGATTACAGAATTATCAGAAACCTCTTCTGTCTATCTCAACAGTGACAGACAATTAAACTATCACTAGGCCCTTGGTAGTTACTATTAATAATCAAACATAGATAACTTCCAACAGCACATTAATGTAAAGGAGACTCAACTTAGTCACTATGGTATTAATGATTACCGCTGAATACAAGTCTCGAAATATCAGGAGTCTACTGTCTAGCTGTTCAGTACAACTTAAAACAGTACTAAAACAAGTCAGTTAAATATCATTCACACTGCATGAATAATAACAGTCAAGAAAATACTACTCAAATCTAAGCTAGACAGCGTTTAGATTTACTTACATAGGCACGAAATATTGTGGTTCAAGAAACCGCTAAACAAATCTCTACTTGTGTATGTGTACGGAATGCACAACACGAGAATACAACAATATATCGGTGGATCTAGACTATAGCAGATCTAGATCAGTAGACCAGGCATAGGCCTAGAACTAGTGCAATTATAAACATGTAAAATATGTGTTAGTAAGCGTACGCACTCAACAACAGGCACTCAGTCAGTCAAAATAAGGCATCACAATGATAAACAATGCAAAGCATCAATCACAATATAATTAACGTTACGTGAGTCATTGGAGTTGAATTCAGAGTAGATCTTCTTCAAGTTCTAGATAGATGTAGAAACTAGCTAGTCGAAAACGGTGGTCGATGAGCTGGTTGTCGATCGCGTAGAAAATGCAGACGATGATCGACGCTAGATGAACGATAACGATGATGCATGAAGACGATGACTACGTCTACGGTGATGAAGACAATGATGGTGCAGATGATGATGAAGACAACGATGATGAAGACAACGATGATGAAGACAACGATGATGAAGACAACGATGATGAAGACAGCGATGATGAAGACAACGCTGGTGAAGGCGATGATGTCGATGATGATGATGAGACAGTCAATCGAATACAATAATGATGCAGTCGAGGTCAATAGATCAACTTGCGATGCAGGTCGAAGAATCAAAATGTCAAGACAATATATATCATATGAAGTCGATGATAAAAGGTTGTCAAACAATAATGCAGGTGAGAAAAGCTTTAGATCATATTAAATGTTCTATTCTCACTGCTGGTGAATTAAAGTGTCGTCAATGCTGAACATCGAGAGAGTCAAAATATATCTTGCAAAACGTACAAAATGTAAATAGGTGAGCACGTCCACCGGGAATGGTCCGGGGACGTAGCAGTTCAATCCTCGTTGGATACAATTTTCTAGGTACAAATATCAACACAATAACAGCATGTGTGTATACCAATATTAAAACAGCTCACTCATTCCCGCACAGGAAAATCAGAAGAGCGCCAATCAACTACAGCGCGATTGGTTCAAAACAAGCGCACATGTATGTTAATAAGGCACGTGATCTAAATACTTATGAATAAATACGCGTACATCTATGTTAATTGGTCATGTGATCAAAATACTAATGAATAAACATCGTTATATAATAAATCGAGTTAAAACCAGTTCTGAGGACATGGCGTAATACCAAATCCTCGAACTCTCAATGACTTCTAAAGCGGCCATTTTGGATTAAAAACACAATATGTATACCAGTGAATTATAAATGAATGCACTGTAACATTTGTCGCTACATTAACCCCCCTACTAGACCCGAGCTTGCGTAAGCTCCGAGGGGCGAAAATACACAATTAAAAATATAAAGGAAACATATGTACAAAATACATTAATATACATGAAAATTAGCGCTTAGAGACTTCGGTGGTAAGCGCTTTATAAGTAACGTTTTTTATTATTATTATTATTATAACCACTATTTATGCGACACGTTCAATGTAGTGAACCTGAACGTACCTTTGCGGCCAGTGGACGTGGCGGCCTGAACGTGTGACACGCGCAGCAGGTTGCGATTTCACCAGAGCAGGAGCAGGCGTAGGAGCAGGTGCAGGAGCAGGCGCAGAGGTTGCGCGAAGTGCTGTGCGCAGAGG